TTCACACACAAATACATATGATCTGTGTCATAACAGTGTAATGAAGTGACGTAACTACATTCACACACACACACACACACACACACACACACACACACACACACACACACACACACACACGCACACACACACGCACGCACACGCACACGCACACGCACACACACGCACACGCACACGCAGACGCACACGCACACGCACACGCACTCACGCACGCACGCACGCACGCACGCACGTGCACGCGCACGCTCCCTCGCATGCACACGCACACGCGCACGCACACACACACGAACACGCACACGCACACGCACACGCACACATACGCACACACACACACACACGCGCACACTCATACACACGCACACACACACACATTCACACGGCACACGCACACGCCCACGCACACGCACACGCGCACGCGCGCATGCACGCACGCACGCACGCACGCACGCACGCAGGCACGCACGCACGCACGCACGCGAGCACGCACGAACGCACGCACGAACGCACGCACGCACGCACGCACGCACGCAGGCACGCACGCACGCACGCACGCACGCACGCACGTACGCACGCACGCACGCACGCACGCACGCACGCAAGCAAGCACGCACGCACTCACGCACGCACGCACGCACGCACGCACGCACGCACGCACGCACGTGCACGCGCACGCGCACTCGCATGCACACGCACACACACACACACACGCACACGCACACGCACTCACGCACGCACGCACGCACGCACGCACGCACGCACGCACGTGCACGCGCACGCGCACTCGCATGCACACGCACACGCACACACACACGAACACGCACACGCACACGCACCCGTACACGCACGCACGCACACACACACACACACACACACACACACACACACACACACACACACACACACACACACACACACACACACACACACACACACACACACACACACACACACACACACACACACACACACACACACACACACACACACACACACACACACACACACACACACACACAAACAAACACACACACACACACACACATACACGCACGCACGCACACTATGTCATGATATTATTAAATACTATAAATTTAGTATGTTGAGACATGCAAAGTTTTTTCTTCCATGAAATTATTGTTTTCTAAAAATAATATATTATAATTAATTATCATTAAATCATAACCAATATTCCATTTAATGATATAAACACGTCAAATTCAAATAAAAAAATATTACTCTGTACAGTAACGCAATTACATCCTAACACAAGTACATTTAAATATTACTGAAAACAAGCCTCTCCCCCATATATTGTGACAAAGCACACAAACAAGATGCGCCCTCCTTTCTGTCAAGGAGGGTCGCGTTCGTATATGGCTTAGAGATCTCTAGACAGATGTTAAGCCAATTCCTAAAAGTTTGGGTTTAGTGGGTAAAAGTCACCACATAACCACGCAGCCGGCTGCGTGGTATGCTATGAGCATTCCCAACCTCCCTCCCCCGCTTTCCGGAGGGTTGCCCATATTTGCTTCGGGCGCAAAAAAAAAAAAAAAACAAACAAGATCTAAGCCATCATACATTTTAGAGCCACGCTGCAGCTATATTAAAGTGTATGTAGTAGGAACTGGTTCGGTCGACCGGGATAAGACCACGGTCTCACAGAATATCAGTGTTGAATATCTATAGCTTTCGTATAGCGTTTTTTTCAAATCTTTCATTTAAAAAATAAACATTTTAAACATTTCTTCTGCCAAACTGCATTATAGTTTGTCGGCAGTAGTTCTCGTCTTACATACTTATATATGTAATCCTAAATATAATTTCTTGTTATGATGAGATGAGATGTTATCAGATGTTAACGATAACATCTGATAACATCTCATTTAATATATTACTAGCTTGCCAGGCAGACGTTGTTCTGCCCTTTCGACGACCTTTGTCATGTCCTTTTAAAGATCCTTAAATTCGCAAGGGCAAAAAAACTATTCTATCTCTCAAGTTGGACCAAACTGCACACGGTGTGCAAATTTGATTAAAATCGGTTAAGTAGTTTAGGAGTCCACCGCGGACAAACAATAGTAACAAACAAATAAGTAAATAAAAATTGATACTTAAACCGACGTGAGACTTATTTTTGCTAGCCAAATTTTCTTTTCAGCAACCGAATATTTGTATATAAAAGAAAGATAAACTTTTTCGTACTTGTCTCACTTTCGTCTAAGATGAAGGGAAGTTTGTCACAACTATCGTCACGTGTAGCTCGTTACAGCTAACGACCATACCAAAAATAGTACAACTGTCACAAATTCTAGTGATAAATTTCGGAGAAGTTTATTTTGGTGGTGGGAAGTTTAGTTTGTTAGCAAAATATGAAAAAGGAAACAGTTTTTCCCTGGTATTTCACTTAACCAACTTAGATTTCATAAAATAAACCTAATTTCACGTATTTAAAATGTTAAGTGATAAAATCCGTAAAATTAGTCCATGTGAAAAACTCGTGTAAATTATAGATCCCCTCCTGCACCTACAGATCCTCCAAATTTTAGGAAACATTAATAGTCGATTATTTGCAGAAAAATATAAAAAGTTGGATTTTCTGAATTATCGTGCGCTAAACTGACAGCAAATCATTTATCAAGCACAAAAATGAGGTAAAAAAAACTATGCCTTACCGCAATGTGGGGGAGGGAGAATTCCATGTGGTACAATATTTTCAGTCCTTTGGTCAATTTTTAATTTGTGATATTGATCACAGATTGATTAAGACAGCAGGCATTAGTAGAAAAAATTATGACAGATAGATAGATAGATATCCTGCACTTGACAAGCCTGGTGAACAATGGCCTAAACATCCTCTAATGAGGAGCTCAGTATATGTTGTGTTTTGTATGTAGACATTTATAAAAGCCTTAAATCGTTGCATTTCTTTTTTTTTATAGAATAGGGTTACAAACGAGCACACGGTCCACCTAATGGTAAGTGGTTGCTGCGGCCCATAGACATCTACATCTATCTTCGTTTACAAATCAAAATGCGTTGTCACCCTTGAGGACTAAGATGAAATGCCTCTCAATTATCCGTTTCTTTACACTCACCATACGAAATACAGCCGCATTAAGCTACTATTTCACGCTGATTTTCAAAACCTAATTCACCTTGGAAGAATATGACCAAAACCCTCTAATGAATACATCAACAGAGATAAACAATACCCTAAATAAATATCAACTAACGGTTGCAACATACATTGTTCGGACTCTTTCATCATATGATCGCTTGCTGGAACTTGAGAAAGCTCTAAAATATAAAATATGATATAATTAGTAATTCGGAAATGAGAAGACGTGGAAACAAAATAAGATAAAACGAAAATTTTAAACTTTTTTGAAGGATTAACATCTTGCAAAAACAGGGTCGGTTTTATAATATAAAAGTGCTTCGAAAACAACATAATGAGTTTCACTGGAATAACGGTGCGAGTCGCAAAACTAAATATAAATATGCAAGGTCATAAGATACCCCTCATACAAGTTTTTGCAGCAACGGAATCCTAATAGACAAATGGGCATGGTAGGAGAAAGCCTTACCCATTTTGGGGTTCCGGTAGATTAAATAAAAATAAGATTAGACAAATAAACATATTATTATCAAAAATAGTTATAGATAAGTAGATAAATATAAATTTATTAAAGACATACATTTACTACATAATAAATTTATATAAATCATTAGTTGTATAAATATTATTATGTTGGTGAATATACTTTATATACAGATAAATTAATAAATAAATAACATAGAATAAACCAAACTAAAACTTGCATAGATTATTAGAAAAATAAATTTACTGGAAATAAAAGGCATTTTTATTTATTTAGTTGATACCATATTTAAACATTTTCGTGAATTTTTGGAAATGAAAAAACCCGGCTTTTTCGAGTGGCTTGAAACGTATCGTAATGACTCTGAAAAACGAATAATAAAATAAATTGAAGAAAACAAATAAGAGACCATCGATCTGTATATTTTCAAGAGAGCAATGTCTTATCATCAAAACGCCTTGTTAGGCCAATAGACCATTTGAGTAGTTTTACAGCTGCAATGTTTTTTTGTTTTTCTATAATATGACTTAAATAAAGCCGTAATGTTCGGTAGTTTCCAAAACTATGGCGTATTTTGACTTCCAATAATCTGTAAAAAATAAAAACTTTTGACTTATACATTGTGTAAAACCGGTTTCAAAATGGATATTGGACAAAAAACGAAACTATAATTACGTTAATGGATATACACTACATTCCTTGGGATGTTAGCCAAATAGCAACCATAAGTATTCTGTGCTTGTTTGCCCTAAAGCCTTACTTCACAATACAGGCTGTGAAATTAAACCAATCCACTGCGCATCATTATTGTATGTTATAATAAAATTAATATATGAATTATAAATTGTTTTTGAATCTCTTGACTACGGATCTTATCTAACAGGCCTGAATTAAAATTAAATGTTGAATTTATAGATATATACCACCGGTGCCCTGCGGTTTCACTCGCGTACAATTTTAACGAAAGGCACTGACGTTTTGTGTTAGCTTGACAAAAATGTGATTTTGTGTGGGAAAGGACTTTATGCGCTGAATTACTTCTTCAATTTTGCTTTCAGCGGACTGTTTTTTATGTGTTTTCCTTTAGAGCGTGTGGGAATCAATTTCAATTGTTGTTGTAAAGTTTTTTGTAGAAATAATAAATTTATTTAGCCGATATACCCAATGTATCACAAAAAAAACTTCTTACACACATTCACTTTTTGCTCATTTTTAAAAATAAGTACTGAACTTTCTGAAGAAGAACTTTCTTCTGTTTTTGTTCTTTTCCTTTGTGGGCGTACTCCACATGTTAATTCGTTGTAATATTTGTTATTCTGGGCATCGTTTAATGAATTTTCAACTTTTCGTCACATCCAGCGTGAATCCGTTTTACTGGACATTTTTTCCCTTTGATATTTACATATTCTTCACCAGCTTCTCTTTATTTCCTTGCAATTCACTGCCAATTTTAAGGGCACCTTTTTCTCTTTCTTGAGGATTTTTGTCTCCATTCGCCCCCAAACATCTTCTTCCTTCCGCTGCCGTTGCTGCTAACAACGACGTTTTTTGCGCAGTACATGGTATATGGTTTCCTTCCTCAACATTTTCGGTCTCTTTACAGGCCATGAATAACTTTTTCTTCACTCTGTCAACCCAAAAATAAATTTTTAGTTTTTATTATTTAAGCTTCTTCAAATAGTTATTTTTACTCTACTAATATTATAAATGTGAAAGTTTATGGGAATAGATTTGTTACTTTTTGTTACTTTTTTACTACTGAACAGAGTTGGATGTAACTTTGCACCCGGATGGCTTATATCCTGTATAACACAGGCTACTTTTTTCTCGTGAAATCTCAGGGCGAAATCAGTACTTTATATTTTATCTACCTATACTTTTTAATTATCAACCTACGGTTCTTTTTATTTTTAACCGATTTCCAAAAAGGAAGAGGCCATACATTCGATGCGTATTTTTCATTTACAAGTAATCCTCAGGTATCTTGGTTTCCTAGTATGGGGGCCATAAGTAATTCTATCTTGTTATCGTGATTTATTGTCAAATAAGTTATTTTGTATTTATATTTTTTTTGTATTACTAGTTATGCCCAAAAGTTTCACCCGCGTAAGTCCTGTTCCCGGATTACTGGAATAAAAAGTAAATCTTCTTCAGAGTTTCCTTTATCTACATACCAAAGTTCATCAAAATTGGTTCAGCAATTTAGTCGTGAAAGCTTAACAAATATTCAAACGAACTCACTTTCGCATTTATAATATTAGTAAGTTCATTTATACACTCAGTTCAATATATTAAAAGTCCCTAAAATCCCTGAAACCTCTTCCATCCTTAATGCACTTAACGCCCTTAAATGCATACATACCAAATAAATAAACTTAACAAACGAACAGAACAAACAAACAAACAAACGCGTAGTTACCGTTCTCATAAGAAAAGTATAAATTGTCACTGAGAAAAGAAATCCCAAATTATTTAGTATCAAATTAAATATCTTTAAGTGAAAATCCCGTCTAAATCGGTCCAGCCGGCACAGAGATTCGTGCGTTTGGAAAAACCAAACAAACTCTTCAGTGCTGTGAGTATGACAGTATGACAAAAGTATGATTCCGAAACATCCTGTTGTAATGTTGAACGGTTGGTAAATGAAAGGAAGACGTGTTTCTCTACTCAAGACTTTAATTATAATGTCACTTAAACCTAAGAGTAAGTACATTTATTAACATATGCTAGTAGGGTGGAGGCACATACACTACACCTCCCCCGATACTTAAAAAAAAGGAAAGTTCTCTATTTACTTTTTTTTTACATTTTAGTTTTCATGAATCTTATAACATAATAATAATTTTAATATTGAATAATTTTTAATATTTATTTTTAATCTTTTAATATTGAAGATTAAAATAAAATACAATGTTACATAGGCTTTAAATGTATATAATTTCTAATTGGAATAAAATAACGTAGTTAAACAAAATATAAAACTAACTTCATTTTAAAAAAAATTATAATCTCATGATCATGATCAGATTATACCATGGTTATACATAATCATATTTTTAAGTCAATCCGTGATACGTATGCGATTTTATTTCGTTAACATTTTTATTTCGTACGACATTAAGCCTGTCGTATTTTTGATATTAATCAATGTCACAACTGCACGTTAACATGAACATACCACCTATCATACCATATACTTATTAATATTTTTTTTTACATTTATTTTCACTCGGGATTTATTACATTAACTATATGTTCTATTTAGAAGTTATGATTTAAAAGTTCAAACAATATAAAACTGAAAATAAACTATTACATTTCATATTAAGCAGTACCTGCTCTACCTTTATATATATTTATTCACATTTGTATTCATAATTGTTTATACTTTATATTTAATTTATTTATACCTTTATATGTGTTTAACTATTGCTTTCATGATCCACACAAATAGGTTAGACATTAATATTCTACTATATTTTCAGAAATTAATGACTTATAAAAGTTAAAGCATGTGATTTGAAGGTTTAATGAATATAACACCGATAATATTACATTTCATTTAAATATGAAAAGAGCAAAAAACATAATGTAATGCAACGCAAATATCATCGCTATCAGCAATAACGGGAATCAAAATACAACTTGCAATCCCAGTTGCGTAAGCGGTTTGTGACACCTACGTTTTAAATTTCTAAGTAGGTAGGTACGTATAAGGCTACGTTTGCAATTACATCGGGCTATGATCACAAGGTGTGGTGATTCATACCTAACATTAAGTAACTTCCATAATATGTTATAATATGAATGCAAGTAAAATATACCTTAAAACTTGGAACAGATATTTAAAAATAGTTGCATATATAAAATAAAATATTACTTTTACTTCTAAGAAATACGTTTATCTTAACTGGGACAGAAATTTATATAAAAAGAGAATACACTGTTAGGTACACAGCTAAAGTTTTTTTTTTACAAAATATTTATTTACATTGGAAAAGCCAATTTTATTTCAAGCAGATGACACAATTTTAGGTTTTCGTTGCCTTTTTTATATAAAAAAAACGATTACATTATACAATTTACAATAATAGTGTATCGATAACCTTTGGACTTGATTATAATAGGCTTTATATAAATGTAGTTCAAAATTGTACACATTTTACATAAGAAAACATGAGACAGAAAAAAAATTATTTAACACTCCATTACGCGCGCCCCTGTTTGGGACGCGAGTGCTCGCGCGCTCTACATATGTAGAACTATTTTGTGTAAGGATTTTACAGGAACAATAAACAAATATAAAAATACTTCAATATCATATGAAAACAAACTTTAATAAGAAACTAAAATGGACGAAACATAACTGTTACCATTTATTATGCACTTAATATCAGACTTCTTGTGAATTTTAAGAAAAATCAATGATTTTTTGGCATCAAACCTTCTCAGTCTCCTTTTTTTACTCGCTCATATCTTCCAAACAGTCTTTATCATTTTTAAAACAGTCAAGGCATTGAAGAACTTGAGGTTGAGGACGAATCCACTTTTTACATGTGTCACATTGTTTTCTTGTGGACTTATTGCGCGCTCTGCCACAAAAGGAACATTTCCCGACTCGACCAGTATTGGGGAGTTGTGCTGGGCATGGTTGTAATTCCGATGGCTCTTTCATGCCCAAAAGCATTTTCCCTTTCATTTTCAATGATTTCGGAATACTTTCAATATTTATTCTGCGTTGTATGCATGGCGCGACTAGGTGAAGACCAAGTTCATATAAAAAATCCTTCTTGGCCTTATTTCTGTAGTCCTTGTTTATTGTATGTACAATATAACCGTTTATAGCACTTATATTCATTAAATTTAAAAAAAAATGGTAAGTGGCAATCGCCTAGAGTTTTTGGAGACGTCATATATACTACAAATTTTGTCTACAATGTCCACGCCATAGTTGGTATTGTTGTAAAAAGTTATTATTTCCGGCTTACGTTTGCTGTTTGTAAATCGATATGATCATCATAGTGCATAGTTGAGTATATAAGCACCACTTTCTTTGATATTGGCATGTAAGATACTAAAGTACCTACCTTGTTTTTGAAAGCCAAAAATTGAACTTGTTTTGCTTCTGTTTCTTGTGATTTTGAATTCTTTGGGAATTTGTGGCTTATCTTTCTTCACAGTACCTACGACAGTAATTTTGCTACTTAAGAGTTCTAAGCATTGAGGTATATTCGTGAACCAATTGTGCATTGTGACGTTGTAACCTAAACCATCCAATGGGGTAAGCATTCGTAGCACAATGTCCACAACTTTATTTGATTGTGCATAAGGACCATCTGGCTGAGCACCTGCGTATATTTCCATATGGTAGGCATAAGGTACCTTTGTATCCGTTAGTAAAAATATGTTTATCCCATACTTTGCTGGTTGCTTCATCAGTAATAACTTCTTCCAACCATCTCAAAATATGTGCTATCATTGTGCGAAATATAGTTACTTCGGTTAAAAATAATATTATCGAACAAAAAAATTCATAATACCAATATTTATACATAATATAAACACTTACATAAAATAAAAACGGTAGGTAAATTTCCGACAAAAATGACACGTGAGTGCTCGCGCGCTCTACTATTGTAGAATTTTAGTTTTAGTGCGAAATTTCTAGCAAGTGCGATCGCGCAGTTTGCCGAAAGGGTACTAATTTTGATCACCAGCTAGTAATAGAGGAATACTATGAGTGTGTGCGTTAGACACCCACAATTAATGTTAAAATCCCACGAAATGCATGCCTGTTCTACAATAGTAGAACGCGCGACTAATGGAGTGTTAAAGTAGAATCATTGTAAATACGAATCAATGTGCCTAAATATGAAAAAAATCTCGTAAATTTATATAAATTTACGCGAAAGTGTACTTATCATATTGGGTTGATATATTTTTATTCGTTTACGTGTAGTTGTGCGAATCGAACCCGTACGTACTTTCTCTTTTTTTATATTTTGACTTTTAGCTAGCTTTATTTCTCTCTGTTCACGCATATATGTATTTATTTCTTAAATATCGGGAACCGGAGTTTCAATTCACTTCAATTATATTTCATTTCATGATATTTATCATGCGGGTACTTTATACACATACATATGGGCCCCCCCCATTTATTTGGGTATTATATTACATTTTCGTAACATTCATTTCATTTTGTTGGTACATAACTTTTTATCGTAATTATATCAAGGTAAAAGTGTTCCTTGGGTTGTGCGCACAACCTTGAGGTCTACGTTTAAGTCATTAAAAGGACTCCAACAATTGTCACAGAGGAAAACTAAGTTTGCACCATGATCCAACGAAGGATGTGACCTCAATGTACCATTAATAAGGGTAACAAATTTAAGACTTCTCTGGTCCCTAACAGTACTAATATGAGTAAACTCAGTTACATCACTTGTACTGAAGGCGTTGTTCCCTAGTACCCGTTACTCCGATTTCATCGTCCAATCACGGAAACGTACCCTGCTCGAGGACTATACGCTATACCAGTGTTGAACGTTCCCATATCTCTCCATTACTTATTGGTCAATGTCATATTTTTATTATTGCCATAAATATTTATTCCTTCTTTATTTCTTCATTACCTTGTTCTTTATTTATATACTTTCGTGCCCCACTTCTATATACTAACTTGCATCATTCTCACACATTTCAAGTCGCACAGTTTAAGTATCATCAATATTTGGGTGATCAGTCCAATATTGACAAAACTTAGTAACTAAATCATTTGTATTTACACGTTCGAACATTCTTCCGTTCCTCATACCAATTACATGCTTTCTAATTTTTGTACAAATGAGATAACATTCTTATCAATAAATTTTCTTTGTCGGTGTTTAACTTTTTTTTTGAACCATTATTATTAAAAACTCTCTTAACTACTTTATTCCTGTTTACACTGTTATTTATTTATTATTTTCATCTCTGTAACAACTCATTCTCTACTATTATCATTTACTCATTTATTTTCCTATACTTATTATTTTTATCGCTATTACAATGTTGTTATGATTTATCCTACACCTGTTAATGTGTTGCATGTTGCTGTGTTCAGTTTAAATTTATCATCTATGTTACCATGTTTTTTTATAGGATACGCTCATTGCATAACATTTTATAATATCATATTTTTAGAAACATCAGTATCATTCGTAAGAAATGGTTAGCAGACCTTTTATATTCACTGTGTAAAGACTGACTCTTGTTATATTTACCTACCTAACTAGTTTCTTGTCTTTCAAAAGAAATAAAAGTGTTATTTTAGCCAGAAAATATGAAAAATATAATTGATAATAAACGTTAAAATAATCGCATCGTATGATCGTGCCTAACGTCAACATAACGTGTACAATTTGTTACTACATAAGTAGTAGTACTCATATAAATGAGTGCGAGTAAAAAAATTGTACCTTAAACTAATATTTTTAATTTCTTATTTATTCAGAAGTCCACATGGTTACATCGTTAAAAGCTATATCGCTTTTATACAGATCGAAAAATATTACTGAAAGTATGTTATTTATTATGTCGTGTGTACAGAATAATTGAAAATCACATTATTAGAGTTATCACCTTTACCCAATGATACAATAATTTATTCAAACATTTAAAAGGAAGTTTTTTTATATTTTACATAAGTTATTATATAAATTTAAGATTTAATGCCTTTAAAAAAATTAAAACTTATAATGATAGTGAAATGTTTCTAACCCTTTAAAATTTGGATTCGAGAAAAAAAAATCAACGAAATGTATCACAGTGTTATTTTAAATCAAGTGCGTAAAATTGGAATCTATTATTTTATTATTTCATTAATTGTTTGGCAGGATACAGTAAAAAAATAATACATAACTATAACTTCATAAATGAGAATATAAAGTCTGGTCTGGCGCCTTAATAGAAGTGCCACATAAGTGCTTAAAATTCAACTTAATTTTTAATACTGTATTATAATTGTTTTTTTTGTAGCTAATAAAATATTTGATAATTAAGTATATTGTGAATAATCTGATAACTAATTTCAACTTAATTATATGTAAAATACAGAATATTTAATATCTAACTTTAAAAACATAATAGCAAAAAAAACATGTTAAATAAAGTTTGAAATAGAATTAAAATCACATAGGTGCGAAGTTACCTCATAATTTGTTCTTTTCGGCTCAATTTTTCTATCTTCTTATCGGTTAAGGCTTGCAGGAAGTTTCTTCTATCTTAAATTTGTGGTCTCACCATCTAATTCGTTTAATCTTCATGTAATATTTGAAGCTGTCATATAATATTTGTTTCTGAAGTTGATCGTTCCCGTTTTTTTCCGTAACATTTTTCTTCTTTTTCTAATAGGTTTTATTAGCATATCTCCTTAAAGAAATAATAACCTTGTCTCCTCTTCTTATGTCTCCGTTTCGGCTTACTTGTCACATCCGATAGTGTCAATTCAATAGTTGAAAATTGTTCCTTCAGTTTTATATTTATTTTTCCATGTTTCTTTAACTATTTGTGCAGGCCGCGGCGGTGCGCGTGCCTTGTCGCCGCGCACCGCCTGGCAGGGTCGCCATGTAATGTTGAACGGTTGGTAAATGAAAGGAAGACGTGTTTCTCTACTCAAGACTTTAATTATACTGTCACTTAAACCTAAGAGTAAGTACATTTATTAACATATGCTAGTAGGGTGGAGGCACATACACTACACTGTATTACAGACACAATGTGACCTAAAATAATACCACAATGATTTAAATCACTTACATATCGTAGTACGCAGTACTGCGGTTATACCGTTTATCACAACTGGTCCAGGACATAATTTTCAAAGTTATGGAGACATCTTCCACCTCGTTTCACTTGTAAATTCACCGAAAAACTTAAAAATCTTGCAGTTCTGACACCATTTGGCGTCGCGATAGATTGTAACTAAAAATATGGTGGAACAGCGGAGTGTGACGTCACGAGCGAGCGGGCCTGTGATTGGTTAATTTGAGGATATACGGCAAACAAGCACGCGCTGGGAATTCCGCTGTTGGAATGTTGGTTCATTTGTGGTGGTTTTTTAATATAGTCTTTTACTCGTTTATTGGTATAGTTACACGAGTCATTCTTGATTTAGATTGTGTAGAATTTGATTCTTAAGCATACCAAATTCAAAGGCCATTTTCGTCCAAATTGGTCTGTTGGCCAAACAAGCACTGAGGCGACGAAAAGAATAAGACCGCACTTCTGCTTCACGCTTTTGGAATAGTGTCATAACGGTGAGCGGAATTAAAACGATTCTGAAGGACTTCAAGGTACCAGATTTTCACTCGCTTTCAGAAGCTATGGTGTTATTTGTAACCTCAGCCGGCGGGTTGTCGAATTTAAGTTGCTGGTGGGAAAATTTTATATCTCTGAGACTAGAAAAACGAGCGACTAACTAGCAATATAAAGAGCTGTCCGTAGTACCTTTCAATCTTACTTAAAATCTCAGGTGCCTGGAAAGACACTACCACAGGAGCAGCTGCAATGAGTCTTTAAGTTTCAATCGCATGGATAGTTTCCACGAACACATGCTCAATATTTATATCGTCCTCTGTATTTTACTCTTCTTGGTTCTTTAAACAATTGTGTAATACGAGGTAAATATTTTCAGGTACTTGGATTAAAGAACGATGTGGACGAATCATTGACTTCATTAGGCAGACCTCTCCAAATTAAAGTTTCAGCATGCCTTACTATTCGGTAATCGCTACAAATTTTCACCCTTGAATAGCTGAAACTTCATTGAACATTTGACATTTGATCGTCATATCATTTTTAACCCTTGGAGGTATACTATGACTACCTTCTGTGGATCTGCTTCTAGAAAAAAGACTTCATCATGTATGGTGTCAATATTTATCCATAAAATCTCTTAGTTTTAGTTGTCCTATTCCAAATTTCCCTACCGTTAGCTCAATGTATTTTATTATGCCTAGTTTGGCGTGAAGTTTTTCTCGTCTTAAATGTCTGTGGGCCATAGCATCCATTTACCTTTAGCTGAACTGTGTACTCATTTAGGGACAACGCTATACAAACATACACTGTATCGCGGAAAACTAACACTTTATAACTCTCGTCAAAAGTTTTTGCTACGAGATATGTATACTATAAAAATTTAACTTATTTCACTTCTCAAATCTGCGATCTACAAGTCAAAATTATCCTATATTAATTGCTGGCTATCAGAACAGACATTTCTGTATTGTCTAATTCGTCAGTCATTTCTGTTGTAAGAAAAATACCTACGACTTACTGCTTCATACTTGAACATCTATTGTGGAAGAAAAAGTTCTATTAGCAAGCAATACTTAGACGATACATTCATAATTTTAACATCAGACAAAGTTACTGAATTGAGCATTGCGAGCCTATGCCTAGGGTAGCGGATTCGAATCCCGCACGGAATCAGTATTTTATAGTCTACAAATAATTATGCTGGATTTCGATGCGTGAAATGCGAAGACATGTAAAAATTTGCGCATGTAAACTGGCTCCACGATAGAGGAGAAAATCTTAGAAAAAAGTTTCTATGACAAAACACACAAACTAACCGTTTTTCACACGGCTAATCACATCGTCATACGTAAATTGCAAAAAAGTTGCGTGACAATTATCTTCGGGTCCCGCACTTTCTTTACAGTGACCGAGTAAAATCAGCACCAGTCAAGCTTGTGGCTGCTGAACTACCATAATATGTCGGAGGAGCCACAAACACAATTGGCTACACCTTGAAGCGAGCTTCCACTAGAACATTTTACTAGCTGCCGAAAACGAATAGTGAGTTTTTTACTATCCGTCAAGTGTAATAACACTCTGCAACATGCAGAAGAGTGAGGCTGCTCCCTTTTATATAAAACAATAAAAGCTATAAAATCTCTCGTAAAAGAAAATAATATAGCACTCGCGAAGTCAATAAATAATTCTAGAAGTTCCTTTGAGTCAGAGCGTTTTTGATTGGAATACAAGCGACATAGAGTAAAAATTAGTATGTTTTAAAAATTAAGTTTATTACTGTGTATATTGTGTAATCTGTGCAATAAACTGGCAAGTGACAAACAGTTGTGGCCTTATATGGAATAAAGAAGACTTATTCGGGTGTCTACTACATTGCTAATCATTGGTCGGCAATATATTGAAAAGGAGAGGAGCAAATTAAATCTGCAGCAAGCAGCAAGATTGGCGCCGTTCGGAAAGTAAAAGCAGCTAAGTGTAAAGTGCAAACAAACTGTGAGTACAATTAATCTTTAATAAGTATCAGAGAACTTGTAAAATAATTCATTAGTGCAAGAACTTGTAATAATTTCGAAAGTAGTTTGGGACTTAGAATAATTAACCAAAAAGTGGAGGCACGGGGAACCCACGCTCGTTTTCACCCAGAAGATTGGTTTAAAACGCTTTTCGCATATTTTATCTTGAACATAGTAACAAATAGAATCTCAAACGGAAATTATCAACAAAAAACATGGAAGCCGATTTAAGAATTTTAATGGACTTAAAAAGTCAAATAGAAAGAAGTAGAGTTAATTTTAAAAAGTCACCAAACGAGCTAATTACGCCTATTTTTTTTTGAAATAAGACTTGAAGCTTTGGAAAAACAATTTGGTGAATTTTCTGGAAAACATACGGAATTAATCAGCAAATATGAGCGCACCGATTTAAATAAAACTACATATATTAAGTACATTGGCCAAGTATAAAAATGATATTGTGTCACCTAGTTGTAGTGAACCATCATCTAAGCAATCTGTGAAATCGTCCTGTGTCAAGTTACCAAAAATATCTATTCCGAAATTCAGTGACAAGTATACGGAATGGTCTACATTTCGCGATTTATTTATTTCCCTTATACAAAATAACGAGACACTCGGCGATGTTCAAAGATTGCATTATTTAAAAACGCAATTAAACATTTTTCCCAGACTTTTTTGGAACTGTTTTGTCAAACAAAAGGTTTAAACTTTGCCACTTTGTGGTTTGTTATATATATATATATATATATATATATATATATATATATATATATATATATATATATATATATATATATATATATATAAATATATATCTGCTCGGAATTCTTTAATTAAACTTAAATCCAAACACAAGCAAACCACTGCCAAACTACAAAATGTAGAAGACTCGTGAGTCATATGCGTCAGTGAGATCAAGCCAAAATCATCATTTTGTAGCTTAGCTTACCTTTGGATTTTGAACCCAATTATGATATTAAAAGTTATACCTCAAATCTTTTTGACTGTCGGTGCTGCAAAAAAAAAACTCGATAAGAGTAGTCTTATTTTCAATATCCTTTTAAATACCCAAGAACAAATATAACTTAAAACCACGCTGCAACAAACTACAGTTTGTCTAGCTTTAATTTTAGTTCGGTGATATTAAACAAACAACCGGTATGATTATTAAATTGATGATACCCCTGAGATTAATTAGAGTTATTACATTTCGTTAAAAGTTCTGTTACCGCCAACCCGAATTGAGGATATTATAATGTGTAACGTAGTTTACTAGAAGATACAGTTCCATATTGTTTTAATTCATTCACTGAATTGATAGAATCAGGCGTTACTTTGCGGAAATCCATTATAATAAAAAAATATAAATTTCTTTGCAACCTTCCGCTAAATAAATACAATGATGTGTCTTACCTGGATTAAAGAGCACCTCCCGCCCTCCCTCAATTGCATGCACTAACTCCTTCACCACTAGTCCCAGCACCACTACTCCCAACACCACTATTCCAGGTAAGACACATCAATGTATTTATTTAGCGGAAGGTTGCAAAGAAATTTATATTTTTTGTCATCCACTGAAGACCGCATACAGAGGGGGAACTAAGGATTTTCTTTATATATCTTTACCTGTCGTCATGCTTGGCTTTTTTAAAATTATTTGATTAGGTTTTTTATTTATTTATTTATAAGGTACACCAACAGCAAAACACATGAAACATTAACAACAACACAATAACAAATGTATATGGTTAAATATGTTTGCCAATTACAGGTATACACAACATTTACCGTAATGTGTAGCTTATTATATTATAATGGTACCGAATACAAAATAACTTATATTAAGAAAAACTAACTAAGGAATGAGTGTGTGCTGAGAGGGTGGAAAGAAATTGTTCAATTTTTTTTGAAGCATCGGGCAGAGTCGTTGAAAATGTCGATGTCCGGTTATATTTATTATTAGGTTATCATGAATGTCTATATTTATTATTATATTTATATTTATTAGGTTATCATGAATGTCTCATTATCGTAAGTGTCTTATTTCATTGGCTTATTTTCAGAATAGCAAATAAGCATTTTTCATGTTTAGATGCATACAGTTTTCATTACATCATGAAACTAGGAGATTCTAGTTGACTTACGACAATTTTGTATCTTACATTGTGTAAATGAGTGTAAAGATTAAGAGTTGTGGGTCTAAAGATTAAGGATTACGCGTAAGTGAACTAGTATTACTCAATTTATTGGAAGAGATAAGCTACTTAGTAGGCATTCTATAGTATATATACTTAAATAGTATACTTATTCTATAGTATATATACTTATTGATAGTATACTTAGTAGGCATGTGAATGATTTAAATTATTTATTTCTACAAGTACTTTTTATGGCGTGATTTATTCCAGTATTTATGCTCACATTAGATTTATTTTATCTCTTAAAATGCATGATGAATCATGGCCTCCTCTCTATTCCTGTCTTCGTACGACTACCTAATCTTTACTATTTCTGATGGGGCTGATTAGTGCTCAGAAATT